ATTTTAATTTCGCCTTCGGCAGGATGAATGGCAGCTGCCTGTAATTCTCTATATCTGAATTTGTTATCCCCGCAAAACTTTAAGTAACACTAAAATCTCTATTAGGATCAGGAAGGGTCTCTCCGAGCCATTTGATACCCAGCGAGGTTTCAGATGATAATGGCATAATTGACCTCAACAACTAAGCCGTGAGCTCCGCTTTTTTCAGAATGGATAAGGAAGCGAGATATGGGTATGGAAGCCAACGAGGGAAAGACGAAATATCTCCTGTCATCACACAAACCACTGTCGCACTCGCAACTGTTGACAGTCATACTTTGAAGTCGTAGATAACTTTGTCTATCTTGGAACCAGTATTAACACCAACAAGAATATCATGCCTGGAAATTCAACGTAAAAGCACTTGTTGCGAACGAAACGGCAACACCCAGCGACGAATAACAACCCTGTAAAGGCAACTGACAAATGCCTTTTCTCATACATTCTTTGACCTTTCGTTTTCTTTCCTTTCCTCTTTGGATGCCTTCGCTAACTGAATCCAGATCCAACTTAATCCCTTAAAATACTTAGGAAAGTAAGATTTAAAATACCTATAAGTACTTTAAACTAATCGAATGTCTTAAAAACCACAGAACAAACATTTCCAAATAAAATCGAGTGTTCTGAAATTTTGGACGTGGGATATCTAATTTCAGTAGCAAATTTGAAATATTTTACTTCATACATCGCAGAACGGAAATGGTTTACTGTAATGTATCTCATCAATGGTATCATTTTCATTGTGCTGGCGTTAGAGCACCCATTGAAAACGTAGATTGACGCTGTTCTGACTGCTCAACACAGACGGATAAAAGACAAAATAGCGCAACTGCAACGAAATAAACCAAGTTACCAGCAGACGAGTCAACTACCCCCTACAGCCGCATGCGGGCAAGATGGGTCGTCGATTCCAAGCAGTCGTGGTTGCAAATCGGCACGAGTAAGACGGCTCTGCATAAAAGCATTACTGTTTGAGGAAGAGGAGCGGCTTCTTCGCCAAAGACAAGCCTTATAGGAGCTTTAACTACAAATTTAAACTGAAGACGACTGTTCCGATCTAGATGAAGGTTTGGATACCATCGAAATCCAAAAATGGTTAAACGGTACTAAGCCTACCACTTTGACCACGCCAGCACCACCGACTTTCAACAGCAATTAAATAATTTGCTCAGGCTGATACCGTAACCAGTAAGACTTGGATACCAAAACTGGTGCCCACAGGCGTAGCAGGTCCAACCCAACCCCTATTGGCATACCAACAGTTGACACATCCAGCTGATCAGCACTGCCTTACAAAAAAAAACTCCATCTTAATTCACACAACGCTGCTTACCTTTTAAAATGTAAGGCTTTCCAATCTTTATACAATTATTTTTTCATAATGAAATAAAATAAATTTTCAACAAAACGTCAACAAAAGGCAAAAGGCACGACAATTTAGTATTCAAAAAGTGGGTAGTCTTGGCTGGTAGGGTATATATGAATATGAATATATTTCTTGAGCAGATCAGTATTTTGAATACACATTTGAATAACCATTGTTCCAAAATGGAGTCGGATTCTCGGTTTCACCCCTTTAGAATATTCCAAACGGCTCGAAATTAATAAATATAAAATTTCAATTGCAATCAAATAAGATTAAGAGTTCCAAAGTTATCTGCTGCAACTGGTTCAGAAATCGCTGATCCATTGCAAGAACTTTTATTAGAATGGAATTTGAAAGAACACGTGTTACTATGATATAACTCTGACCAGCACGGGCGTAATTTGTTATTAAAAAAAAACTTGAACAGAAACTATTATATTTACCTTGTCAACATTAATTATATGACCTTTTACTGAGAGCAGTTTTCCAGTAAGGATGCTCAATTACAAAATTTCGGCCCTTCCATTAACAGTTGTGATTTCGTACAAAATGACGACGTTCTTTAATCAATTTTAAATGACACTACAGATAGCGCTATGTATATTTGTAAAGAAAAATTAAAAACCAAATTATAGAGAATTATTGGAATTGACCACGATCTAGTCCTACTCAAAATAGGCGTTGGATGTTGAAGGCGAAATACACGTATGTATTGCTTGAAAATTTATCTATCATCGTAGAGGTTTACAAGTCAACTCGCACTTGCTCTCAATCTCAGTGTTTACCTGTCAAATATAAAAATGATGGAATGTCGAATCAAATGTCGAAGAAAAGGAAAATGATTAAGAAATCAGGTGATATCAGCTGTTTTACAAAATGGCTCTTTCCATACTTGCAAACCTCTACGATGATAGAATATTGTTAAAAAAAAATATAAACATTGAGACTTGCGACAAAGAAATAGAAAATGTAAAACATAAGCTTAGTGAAATCAATAAATTTATATAAAAACAACTCCATATTTTTGTAACAGCGAATACAATACATTTTTTGATAGATTTAGGACTTCTTCTCAATTTTTGGATGTAGATTAACAATTTTTGATGAGCCTTTATAGCATGTCAGTACTACACTCGGAGGGGTTGACGTTCCCTGCTGAGGGGCGACCGCAATTGGAAAATTTTGCTTAATTTTTTTTTCTTCTTTTGGTAGCCACTTCAGCACTGCAGTGTGGAATTGTTTGATACAATCCACCAATGCTCTCTGGTTTTCTAATAGACCGCCTATAGTAACCAAATGTCTCTTCCTGACGTATCCTAGAACCAAGTACACTAGCATATGTGTAGTCCACAGCTGTTCCTTTAGAGTTTGGAAAGCTTCCACTTTTCCTTGTTTATTTTTTTAGTGAATGGGCTATAGAAAGTGCATAGCCAAAAACTCATGTACATATATTCCTAGGCCTTGGCATTTTTCACTGCTTCTATATGTTCCTTGGCAGTGAAGACGCTCTCCATCGTTACCAATGACCTACATATTTCACCCCCTTCTTAAATAATGAGGACTTTATTGGACTTAGTTCGAGACCAGTTCCAGCTTTCCTCGGGAAAACTTTTTCCAAATTGTGCAGGTGCTTCCCACAGCTCTTACCGAAAACGAAAATTTTATCTAGATACACCAAACACGTTTTCAAAATGGTGTTGAGCACCTGCTCAATTATCGTTGGATAATCAAAAGAGCTTCAGGGTGAATTGCCAAAAACCCTTCACAGCATTGAAGGATTTTCTGCCTTTGTCTTCCTCGCTTACTTATACTTGCTAATAACCGAACTGATCAGAACCGCAACTGATCACCGGAACTAGGGGACTACCGGAGAACTTCATGGGCTTGCCGATAGCTCGATAAAATTACTTGCTCATTTCTTTTATTACTTGTCTCACAGCTTCACTTTTGGATCGTAGAATACTTCGAAAAGGCGTACGAATCGACCTAGTGTCACATGTATAGATGGAATGTTTCGCAACGTTAGTACTCGATGGTTTGTTACAATCATTTTCGAATATGTGAAGTGACCTGATATTTGCTTTCCAGCTCTTCCGTTCATACTTTTATGTCTTACTCCGCGTCCTTCTTTCATATCGAATTTTCTGCAGTTGATGATGGCATCAACTTCTAGATTTTGTCCTAACGCAGTAGGTGATTTGAATTCAGAGATACGTAAATTATTTTGCGTCGTCGCCAAAGTTCGACCAATAAGGACGTCCGGAGTAAAATTTTGTGCTGCTTCGACATCCCAAAATATGTCACAAAATCTCCATAAATTTTTACTCAAACAACTTCGTCTGACTTAGGTGGGATCTGTACGCTATAATCTAGGACCTAGAATATGATGAATCTACCTCAACCTTGAAATGGCGAAATTCACCCTTTTGTCTCTTGCCTGTCTTGCACTCATTCTCGAAGTGACATGATTTTATACAAGTAAACCTTTAATGGAACCATTTTGGCTTATTTGGTCAAAAGTTTCGCTGAAGTCTAAGTTCGGAGTCTGTTCACCAGAGGTGCGGCTGCGAGCAGCGTCGGCCTTGAAGAAAAGTGTTCCCTATATGAAAATGTAAAAAAATGTATACTTACTCACCTTTTGGTGTCGGCTTCTTGGAAAAGATACTCTGTCGTCGAGTACCATTCACTACGGAGGATGAACGTCTCGTCACAATCCGCAACAAAGCAAAAATAAAAAGCATATCACTGGTTAGCCCTCACGCCTCCATCTATAACAGTGTAATGTTGCTGCAGTACTCCGATTATAATGTCTTTGTTCCCACATCACGGTTGACAGTCAGAACTTTGAAATCGTAGATAACTTCTTCTATCTTGGAACCATTATTAACATCAACAACAATGTCAGCCTGGAAATTCAACAAAGAATCACTCTTACCAACAGGTGTTACTTTGGACTGAGTAGACAATTGAAATGTAAAGTCTACCCCGTTGGTATTTCCAATTGGTGCCAAACAGCGAATAGAAGAAATGAACGGCGCAATGTTCTAATGTTCTTAACATTGCTATAATGGCGTAGAGACCTCTTACTACGCTAGTAAGGAGGAAGAATATATTCCATGTACTTGGCCAACTTGGCAGCTAAATGGTTTTAAAATAGTCGTCAACCGGCATGTCAATGTCATGTATGCCGACAATGGTCATACATGTTAGGTGTTTGTGATAGTGATTTTTAGGTTAGGTAATTTAATTGATCGGTGATTCGTTTGGCAATTTTTTAAAATCTTCAATCGCCCCGAAATTTCATAGTGTATTATTTGAAGATCGTAGCCTGAGAAACATTTTTGTTACTAAAGTCAGTGTTCACGAATTAGGGGCATTAGGCAAGAGAGTGTTCACAAACGGCGTGGTTTAAGTTCTTCACCATACCCACGAAACCGGTAAAAGATATTTCATGATATTTTTCCAAATCTGGTGAGTATTTCTATGATAACATACCATATATTAGAAAGGCGCTATGACATACTGAGCGATTAATTTTAATTTGTAGCTGGAAATATTTTGCTCAGAAAACAATTTTTATTTTTGAAAATATTATATATAAAGTAAATCCTTGTTTGAAAGGTGTGGAAATTAGTCAAATAGTGTTCATTTTTAGTACATAGGGTATCCAACTATTACTGCTCTACGTCGATCCTCCACAGAATACACTAGCTTCTCACACTATTCCCAAGTAATGGAGCTTCGAATTTCTTTAATCTTAGTTTTTAACTCCAAAACCTGTTCTTGGTGGGTGACTTCTCAGCCGTCTTTTCATCAGTGTCCATTTATTCATTCTATCAGACCATGCTGCCGGCAAATTGCGAATAGAACTTCTTTGGTTCTCCTTAATAATTAATAATAGAGTACCTTAATCACGGTGTGTTATTTTTGAAAAAGATTTAAATTAATAAATTAAGAGAATTATAGATGTACGAATTAATAGGGGTTATGGAAAGTATATCAAGATTACAGTTATCTTTAATAAGAAAAATTGTAAGTCCAGATATAATAATTATTTTTGAGCAAACATTTACATATCGAAAATAAAATGTTAAATTTGATCAGAAAAATATTTTAATTTTTATAGATCGAGACAAATTTACTCACAGTAGTAGCAAAAATACAAAAACAAAAGGTCTATGTATTTTGTTTGTGTAATCAAAGTTTCGAAAAGTCAAAAACGAAGATTGTTCAATGTATTTTGTTGGTGTGAAAAAAGTTCCTAATCTCAAAACATATTTCACATGTATTTTGTTTGTGTACGATACGTTGAAGTCTTTGATTTTCTTCCCTGAAAAAAAACAAGAATAAAGATAATTTTCGATCCCTAATAGGCAATAAAAACATATAATACTTTCTTAAATCAGAAGCCAGATTTTTTATTTAATCTGTGAGTTATAAATAAATACAATATACAATATATCAGCAAACTTTCTTCTTTTACGTTTATATCCATTGTTTTTCAAATCGCTTTATCAATGTTCTAATATATGAATATCACGATTTGTTTTTTAATTTCTTCAAAAAATCTCGAGCCTGTTTATCTCCAAGTCTATATTCCAAAGCCCGAATAGTTTCCGATTCTGAAAGTAAAGTTAATACGTGTTTCAATATAATTTTGGAGGGATCAGGTTAAGCATTTCTTAATATTACAAAGATTATATAATATTATATTCTTAAAATAATGAAATTTTGCAAGGTTTATTTTGCCTAAGAGTATTTTAATTGCACACCAGATAACTAAATTGTCTAGATCGTTTTGTAACAAAACCAACGTCTTTCGTCGAATGAGGCACATGACATAAAAAGTTTTACCACATCGGCATACAACGACATTTAAATGGTTTCTTACGGAAGGTTTATCATTTATAAAGAATAAAACCAGAATCGAGCCGAGGTGTCTACCTTGAGGAACTGCCGATGAGACATTAACTGCTTCCATATTGCAGGGAACACACTTGCTTTGAGGGAGGAATTAAAAAGTTGAATTAAAGAAAAACTCAGGTTATTGGTACAACTTTCATCAAAAAATATAATTCATCATCTCCCTCAGAAATAGTTGGTAAATCAATTATTGTTCTTGAACGTATGTAATGCTGACAGACGGGAAAACCACTTCGGGAGTTATTTGAATAATTTGATTTGTAAAATTGCGGGAACATATTGGGCTGTCACGTCAAATAGTAGATTTGTATTTCATGGCGCACGGAAAGATAAAAAGCTTACGTTTGGAGTGAACAAAATCATAGAAAATCATAGGTTGTGTAAACAATATTTCTTAACTTTAGCTGTGTAAACATTATAACATTTTTTGTTGAAAGTCTTTAAAGCTCTTGACCTTCTATCCTTTAAGCAACATAACTTCATTGCAAACCACGAATTCATATATATGGGCCTATTCTCACTGTTACCGGTAAAGTAAATTTTGTTACTTTTCTTTAATACCCGAAAATGAATTTGGTATTCTGGCGAACTGGTTACAATATTTATAAAAGAATTTGGCTGCGCTGTCGACCATGTCAAATTACATTTGCCAGTTGATAAAGTAAAAAGAAAAATATTCACATCGAAATGGAAGACGGTGCACAAAAAAATTAAAAAGTTTTATAATTTGTTTTTAAATCATAAATATTTTAACCTAATTATGGAAAATATGCCTGGGCAATATGCTGAATGAAAACGTTATCTTACAAATTAAAGAGCTATTTTTTAGTCTCGAAAACTTCTTAAAACACGGCCTTTTGCTTTTTGGCTCAATATATGCCTACCCATTTTGGTTTTTTATTTTTTCTTAAACTTAAAACACAAAATCAAACAGCAGATTTTTTTGTTACCTCCTATTTCGCTGGTAACAAAATTTACAGAGTAACAGTGAGCTCAGAATACGAAATGGTAACAAAATTTACTGAATGGTAAATTTTAATACCTAGGTAAATTTTGTTACCTCGACAGAATAGGCCTGATAATAACATATTTTAAGCCCAGGCTTTTTAGGTACACACTTAACATGTAAGACACTTGCTTCAATATTTACAGTATAACTTGGCCAAGTATACGAATATTAAAACTATGTTTGTTTATTGAGTTCAGTTGAATTTATGTACGATGGTATTTTTATGTCTGTACTAGAAGAACCCGTCCACACGTTGTTGCCTTAAGTATTTTGCTCAATTTTGATTTTATAACTAAAATTATTAAAGATGTGATAGAATAACCAAAAGTTGTAATTAAGCTTCAAAAAATGCTACGTATATGTATTGTATGTGTACCTATAAGTGCATTCAAGGCTTGGCGTTCAAATATTACAGCGGCTGAGTTATTTTTTACCTACTCATGGATGTGTATATTAGAGTAAGATATCTTGTTCCCCCAAAGAAAGAAGTTTACTGAGTTTACCGAACAGGATTCAGTAAAAATTAGCTACTAAGTTGTACAACAGCTGTTTATTTTGGCGGTTAAATTTGAATTTGAATTGGCAATTCGATGGGATTTTCTTAATTGTATTCAATATTTATTTATGAATTTTCTAATAGTCCTCTAAAACGAAGAAAAGTTGTGTGAAAACAGCTTTGCAACAAATTGCCCTACATCAAAGCTCATAACTTCTAATTTCTCAACGTAAGCTGGGTCATGCGCGGGCGACCATTCCACTTCATTGCTACCACATTCTCATTTAACAAGTACCTTAACTATTGAATTGTACCGCACACACGAATTTGGAATTTTCTCTCCAAACTAAGCTATAAAATTTCGCTCCCCCTTTACTAATTTTATTGAGTTTTTGGCTCAACGAACACGATTCAGTAAAAATTGTTACCGCCCATCTAGTCAACGAAGAAAACTATAGTAAATGACTAGTCGCTCGTGGGTCATCATTGATCCCCCTAAAAGAAATTAACTCAAAATTATTCATATGTGTTAACTTAAGTTGGAAATCGCTTAAGCAGCTACAAAGCGCTAATCTAGACCAAAGGCCGTCATCCCCTAATGGGTTAATGCTGAAAAACTCAAAACCAGAGCGAACATGTTGTGATAGACGGAAGACATGTCTCCAGGGGTCTTGACGAAGAAACCATCAAAAAATACAAGGAAAGTTCAAGGTCGAAAAGTTGTAATCACAACATACTACCGAACGATTTTCTACTCGACTTACACTCCTGCTCCTACAGCTGTAATTAAAACTATTGTATTTCGTAAAGGTCGCAAGGGTAATGCTCGAAAATTTTATGAGAAGATACGACGACTAACGGAAGGTTTTAAGACCGGCGCAGACTCTTGTAGGACTGAAAGAGGTGATCTAGCCACCAATTAATAGCAGTGAAAATGCATAATCCAGAGATGGTGAACCCGAAACCCCAATCGAAAGACTCTCCATTACATAACCATAAAGAAGTTCGAATAGCAATCTCCCGCAACAAGGCGGCGGGAGCTGATGGTTGCCGGCAGAACTATTCAAACATGGCGATGAAGAGCTGACAGGGAGCAGGCATCCATTGATTTGCATAATATGGTCTTACGAAAGCATGCTTGACCATTGGAATTTAAGTATTCTCTGCCTAAACCATAAAAAGAGGACCCCACAGTCTGCGCCAATTATCGTGGCTTATCTCCTTATATCGCATAAAAAGTACTATCAAACATATTGTGTGAAAGACTGAAGCGCACCGTCAACAAACTGATTGGACCTTATCAGTGTGGCTTCAGACTTGGTAAGTCAACCACTGACCAGATATTTACCATCAGCCAAATCTTGGAAACGACCCGACTTCGGCTGCACGAATAGGAGCTGACTCTAATCCGCTATGACTGAATTTGGTATCCTCGCAAAACTTATAGGGCTGTGTCAACTGACAATGAGCAACACTTAAAGCTCTGTCTGGATCGGGAAGGACTTCTCCGAGTCATTTGATACCAAACGAGGTTTCAGACAGAGTGTTTCCTTATCGTGCAGCTTTTTTAACTCATTGATGGAGAAAATAATACGAGCTGTAGAGCCGAATAGAGAATGCACAATATTCTATAAAAGCGTTAAGCTGTTGCCGATAATAGTGACATTAGGGGACTCAAAAACTGTGTCCCGAGATCTGCTTTCTCCAGACCGGATAAGGAAGCGAAGGGTATGTATCTGGTTAAGAACGAGGGCAATCCGAAATATCTCCTGTCATCACACAAACAATCACCTCATTCGCGACTTAGCTCCCTCGTCACTGTTGACAGTCATAATTTTGAAGTCTTAGATAATTTCGCCTATCTAGAGACCTGCATCTGCATTAACAATAATGTGCAAGATCACTCTTACCAACAGGTGCTACTTTGGACTAAGTAGGCAAGTAAAAGTAAAGACCTCTCCCGACGAAGGAAAACCAAGCCCTAGAAGTCCCTCATCGTTCATGTTCTGCTATCTGGTGCGGAAACATGGACGATGACTACATCTGATGCATCAGTTTTACGTAAGATTTATGGTCTTATGTGCATTGGCGGTGCCTACGCAAGTAAAGTAAGTAAGTAAATGTGATAGAGGCAAATAAAACATGAGTGTGAGCGTGAGAAAAGGGCGAGGGTACTAAAAAAAGAAATTATTATTTACAAAATTCATTTAAAATTGTCGTCTTGTTTATAGTCACATAACATGACAAACATTGTGAAATCCAGAGTCTCGCATACGTTGTAGTCTGATAAGTAAAGAGAAATACTTGGATGACGTCACAAATGACGTCCAATAGTGGTCTCAAGAGATATTCATGACAATGCAAGATAAAAAATATATGAACTTATTTTTTTAGTTATCTCATTTCTCTTATGAAGGCTCGTCGTACCCGAAGGGTCGTTTGCTTCTTGACAACTAGTTTGCTCATGTACCAATCGAAAAATTTCAAAATGATGAAAGAACCATAGTTGCGATTTTCTTTCTTCCGAATGTGCCAGAAGCTTCACAGCCTATGAACCACAAAGTTTATTAAGCAGCTTAAGACGCTGGCGCTAATTCCTGAACTATCTCTTAAAGCGGTATTCAATCCGCGATGCAATAATTTTATTAAAGAAGCGTGGATTGTAGCATTAACGATTATAGTCAAATTAAAAATATTGAGTCCTTTATTTCTTTTTTCCGCTGTTTGGCATCAATTGAATACATCAATTTCAGCCAGGTCCTCCTATACCTGGTCTTCCCAAAGGAGTGAAGGTCTTCTTCGTCCTCAGCCTCTATCAGCGGGTACTGCATCGATAACTTTCAAAGCTGGAGAGCTTTCATTCTCTTGTCGCTGTTTCTTGATTCGTTGAACTATCTCAATGTCACCGTATATTTCATATATCTCATCATTCCAACGGCTGGGGTACTTGCCGTTACCAACTCGTAGAGGACCCTAAATCTTATGAAAAACTTTTCTCTCGAAAATAGAGCACACTTAGGCTCCAATCGTCGGAATTGCTTTCATCTAATCACATTTTGCTAATATTATCGCTTTATTTAAATAGCTTGGGCAGTAATTCTTCGGTACCTCCGGTTTGTTGTCTTTGAAGCAGGTGGTTGCTATTCGAAATTCTTCATAGTCGGTCAATGAAATATATATTTTCTTTCTTTGACTGTGCATGCGTCTTTTTCTGTCTTCAATTCTTGTATTTATTTCACCCCCGCACGTGTAGTGGTCGATGTTAATAGTGCGGGGTAGGCAGCCTAGAAACCCGTTTGGTTTTCTGTTAGAATTCTCTCTAGAAAAATCGAACGAAGTTGAACGGAAAGGTGTATAACTACCCTTCAAATAAATGTCTCACTCAGCTTCAGTAAAAATTGTTTCAAATAAATAAAGAAAACAAAACCCGAACTCAATTAAACTTTTAGACTTACTTACAATGGACACAACTATAGTCTTACTGTCTTCTTATCACATATATGTACACACGTTCAAAACATGTTTATTACTCTTTTTCGTGAAATTCCTTTTTTATTATAAAGTCTGAGCTTTGGCTTTATAAGAGGAACATTACATAACCCAAACGATCGCCTCGTAAGGTTTTTTGCACACTTCTATCCGTTCGAAGTAATTTTCGAGCACTTCTTGGCACATATTGAGCGGAATCTCATACACGTGTGTCAAATTTTGGTTTTCAAGATCTTAAGAGTTGAAGGTTTATCCGTATAATCGGATGATCTCAGTGACCAATCGCCATCCTCATTACGGGAAATTTCTGTCGCAATAAAACGTGACATTTGGCACCGTACGAAAGTCCCAGCTCTTGAATGTCGACAAATAAACACATTCACTTAAAGTAGCGATATTTGAGGCAGAACGAGCAAAACGATGACGCTCTGGCCTTACAATTGACATGCCGCTGCATGTGTTCTATAGACTGAGGGAATCTCTGGTCCATATTTCTTTAAAAATGAAGCCGGTCACAATATTACTGTTAATGGGTAATGCCATGGAGCTGTTTATTGATTTTTTTCGTGCCTGGATCGTGCGATTTAACACCGCTGGACTATTTTTTTGTGTAGTTATATGAAGCCCCTTGTCTACACAGATAAGCTCGAGATAATTGATAATTGATAATTGATAATTGGGTGCAATATTGCTGACATAAGGTTCAAATTTTATAGTAATTCGGTCGAAACTACTTTACCAAGGTCACTTACTCAAAACATTTTGGAAACTTAATATCAAATCCTTATCTTTTTAATTTTATTTCTCCCTGTTTGATTAATCAAAGTCGCCGAGGTTATCTAATGGGAGGTCCAGGAAACGAGCTGTTTAGACGGGGTTGGACCAAAGAGAAAGGGGGGATAGATGAGTCGGTTTGAGAGGTCATGTGAAGAGGTGGTTTGTGTAGTGCCGAGATTCTCCACATGCAGGGTATACGTTAGGTATGCTAGGGTCTAGATGCTTGGCTGTGCAAGTGATGCTTCGGCGACATTAGGAGGTTTCCTGTCGCAGTTCAGGCAGCATGCCTGTAGCCTCTTCATCTGCGTCTCGTTCGTCCCCGGCGCCCAGATCAGTTTACGACCGGCCCGACCAATTACTTTATAAGTTGCCAGCAAAGTTTCTTTGAATTTACCTCAGGTGCTTTGAGTATTTTGTTGCGGCTCTGGAGTTTTGCAGCAATTGCGGTCGAATGCGGAGTGAAGAAGTGCAGGCTGTATAGTGCCACTCCCAATATCTTTGGGTTATTTACTGTCTGAATTTTTGTGTGATCGACCTTCACATCTAGTTCAAGCCTGTACTCGTTCGTCCAGCTGGTGAAGAGGGTAGCCGAGGATTTTTAATTGTAGTGCAGTGAGAAAGAGTAAGATGGTTAAGGTAGCTGTTCACTTTCGATCAGAGGTCTTCAATAGCCCGGCCAGGCGCCATTATCGTACAATCATCGGCGTACGAGGTTAGGGAAACTCCTTCTGGTGGATGTGGGAGTTTCGAAATATAAAAATTAAACATATAGAGCATATGGACATCTTATGTGAAAATGATTTAAAGTAAAACCTGCTAGCTTACACAAAATATTACTTATTTCAGTTCCACACTTACAATATTTAAATTAGCTTAACAAGAAACCTATTCAAAAACGCTTATTTCACAGGAAAATACCCTATAGCAAGGCGAATTCATTAAGGTGAGAGCAGGAGAACAAATACAACATTACCGTATATTTTGCTTTGTTGTCAGTGTAACAATTGTCCAAATCATTCCAAGTTCATACAATTCGCTTTTGTCAATTTAAATCAATAATTCAAAACAAAAGTCAGAAAAGAAGAAACACAAAAACTAAAATTGATGTCTTGAGCTTAAGAATCAAAGTTTACTAATTTAAATGGCATTCAAATAGAGTAGGTTTCATTTATTGTAGTGTTTGCTTACCAGCTCCTACTTTGGAATGGAATTTTATAAGCAGCGGCCATTAGACTCATACATTAGCCGATGAAATAAAGTACTATAATTATTGTGATCTTAAGAAATTACTAGAAATACAGCAGTTCTGCCGCCAACACAGACAGACAGTTGTAGTTTATATATGTAATTTTTTTAATTATCATTTTTAGTTAATATTGGAAGAATATATTTTATTTAACCATAATATAAACTTAATTACCTTTTTTAAACAAAAATGGCCTATGCATTCAAACCTCTTTTTCAAATTTCTTTGGCCAACATGAATCCAGAAAAATGTAGATCCTTCATCTTGTGGAGCTTTGAAAAACTATCGATCTCCCCGTTCTACATATGTGCACACAAAACACAAAGGATTAGACAACCTCTTCAAACGGTAATCTTAATCAGGAACGGATGGGGAAAAGCAAACGCCCTCAATCAAGGAGCCATACCCATCTTTACAGACGGCTCAAAGGTCGTTGAAAATAGGACTACCAATAAACATGAGTAGGAAATTACAAGACCACTGCAGCGTCTTCTAAGCAGAAATGTTTGCAATCATGGAAGCCGCCGAGTGCTGCACAAATCTACGGTAGCAGGACTTGCAGTTACAAATTATTCCGATAGTTAAACAGCCACCATATCTCTACTGGATAATATTACCACATCAAAAGTGGCAATAAAAAGAAGCTATCTGAACAAATTCTCGGCTAAATGCAATATTGCAGTGATTTGGGTACCCAACCACAGGAACCTCCCAAGCTATTGCGCTGCAGACAAGCTTACATACCATACCTTATATTTTAAGTTTGACCTTTGGCAAAAATGCAAACGTAACCAGACAACTATGACCAAATTTGGAAGTGAAAAAATCTAAACCTTTAATCATTCTACACCAGTTATCCATTAGCATAACGACGGGTGCAATAAGAGATATCCGTCCGCTGGAGCTGGCTAGTATTCCAATGATTGTGGCCGCAAAGAAATTATTCATTGAACGCTACCACTTCTTTCACTGTCTCGCTGAGCTACCTTCAGCAAGAATTGGACACCTCGCAAAATGGCTCGAACATTTGAGAAGATACTTTCACTTTTCAAACTTAAATTAAAACTGAAGCAAAATAACTTTTTTTCATTTGAATAGATTTTTGAATTTAACATAGGTATACATAAATTCGTATAAGGGCATAACGCAAATACATAATGAAACCTGAATATTGCCAATAACTAGAAAAACTAAAACTGACGTACCAAGTAATCGGGGCCGAGATAATTCCATTAAAATTTGCTCATTTTCATTTCCCATCAAGTCCGCAAACGTTATGTAGCATTCTGCAATATATTGGCTCGTCACACCAAAGAGGTCTTTGTCCTTTATGCTGAACAATATGATACTGTTGTGCATTAGAAGCTGTTCTTCTGTTAAATTGCTGAAAAACATTACAAATGTTAATAATAATAATAATAGCATTAATGGAAATAATATCTGTAAATAGTAATGCAACTTTCAATAATAATATATATGTACATATGTATATAATTTGTGGTTTTGCGTCTTGATGTTTATCTAACAAATGAAGGGACCTACAGTCTATACTAGGCCACCTCTGAACGGCTGTGGTTTTTATGAAGAGATTTTATTTCATATCTGAAATACACTCGGAGGGGTTGACATTCCCTGCGGAGGGCCGACCACAATTAGAAAATTTAACATAATTCTATTTTAAATTATTTTTTTCCAACTTTTTGGTATTGGTCGTAAAAGGATTTGATCCCAGGATTTCCGAACGGCAGTAGGCAATGCTAACCACTTGGCTATCGCGGCCGCGTGCAGCAGGTTGTAAGGAATGGACGCTTCCCACCTTGCGAGGTACAACTGCATTTAGATATTTTATTAATAACATTCTGATTCGAACACTCACTTTTTTTATTTTACTTCGACTTCTTTAAACTTCAAAGGAGGCGCGATTATGATAGAGGTGTACGTATAGAAACATAGGAAAGAATGTAAAGGCCCAGTAATAATGAGGCAATCTACAATATAACAATGAAGCTTACTACGTTACCAATAACCAGTTAATATTTGGTAATCACTATCCCCTAAGATATAATACGCTTATGCCAGCGTTTGTTGTAATCCTCGAAACATTACTGAAACGCGTCTTTTGGTATGAACATGTATACATATAAATATTTATTATAAAATATTTAATTTTAAATCTCATTAATTAGCAGTTTCTTTGGTGGGAAAACTCAGCACCCACAACAAAACACCCCCTAATGGCTAAAGCCTGATCGGCTTCACCAGTTATCCACTCGACTTGCGCTCCTGGTCTCTGAGAGCACTCACCACAAGCTCGGTATACGGGAACTGTGGTACGGCATTTCAAGCTCCCTACTTATAACTGCAAACGAAACTATTGGATTTCCGAAAGGTCGCAAATTGATACCACAAATTGAAAATTGAAGAAGGAAGCAAGACACAGACAAGAAAAGAAAGACACCATTATGCGTTGGTATGAAGAGCTTGATCATCACACAAACAGTCATCGCATTCACGACTCGGCTCCCACGTCACTGTTGACAGTCATAACTTTGAAGTCATAGACAACTTCGTCTATCCTGGAACCAGTCTTAACACCCACACCAATATCAGCCTAGAAATTCAATACAGAATCACTTTTGAGAACAGGTGCTACTTCGGATTGAGTAGGCAATTGAAAAGCAAAGTCCTCCTTCTACAAACGAAAACCAAACTTTAGAAGTCCTTCATCGTTGCTGTCATGCTATATGGTGCGGAAGCATGGACGATGACAACATCTAGTTTTCAAGAGAAAGGTTTACGGTCCTCTACAAGTTGGTAACGGCGAATACCCCAGCGACATTGACATAGTTCAGCGAATTAAGAAACAGTGGCTACGCTGGCTAGGTCATGTGGTCCGGATGGAGAAGAATACTGCATTTTTGAAAGTTTTTGATTTAGTGCCCGCTGGTGGAAGCAGAGGAAGTTGAAGATCTCTACTCCTTTGGAAAGACCGTATATATTATATATCGGCTATAATCGCATTAGCGGTGCCTGTAAAGTAAGCATTTTTCGCATAATTATAAAACTGAATTCACAAGTCATGCTTATTCTAATTTTTATCTTTATTGACATTAACCTAAAAATCAATCATATTTAATACAACTGCAAACATGCAATAAAATGTGTGCATGTACATATTATGTCTTCATATGCATACATATATATGTATGTACCTCATTATCTAACAACATACATGGCGCTTAGTAGAACTTGCAAGAAAGGCTCTTCACATAAATAAAGAAAAGCGCATCGCCAACAAAGCGTATGCCGCTTGCGATTCCTCCCTGCAGCTCTTTCACAAGTTCCAACTCACAAAAATCAGAAGTAGAATAAAAATGAGCATTCCATAAATGTCCCCAAACCAAATGATTTCAGCAAATATAATTCGAATTTAGACCTAAAAGAGTTTAGTAATGCCAAATCATTTCAAATGTAGTAAAATTTGGTAAAACAACAACTTTACTTTATATCAACTGATGAAAATTCATAATTGAAATTATGGTCGCATTGTTCGCATAGACGCGTGTGCACTGTGAAAAAAAACAATGCCGCTTGTGGACAAAGTACGCACGCAGGGAGGGTATATTCTTTCGTACGTTTACTTGTACACCAGGAAGCAGAAATACATATATATATTTGCATACATTGTGAATATGCAAATGTTGAGGTAATGCCACATGTGGTATGGTATAACGTCCATGTATAATACTTTTCCGTTAATTTTGTTTTTGGCGTAAATTCAAATCCTGCTATTATACAGAATATTTCGAACTATTGGTTTCATAATTTTATTTATTTTATTTATTTGGAATTTTTTTTATATTATTATCAATGGTAAAATAAAGATAAATAGAAATCAATATTAATTGCATTAATAAAGAGCTTGAAAAAATTGTTTCTAAAATGTCAAATTTTTTGATTAAGATATATTTATGTATGTATCTACAATATTAATTGAAAATATGCAGATATGTTCCAGTGTATGTATGTACATATGTATCTATGTGAAATGCAAATTACCGACGGCACTTTTGCCATTTTTAAAGTACAAAATGCTAGGTAGTCTCCTGACAGTACGATTCTTTTATTTCGACCTTCTCCGCAGCTTAGCTTTGAAAGGGCAACATGTTTTTAATTTGGGAAACTTTGTAATGCATTGCAATTCATTTAACAAAAATAATTTCTATAATGAATTTAATTTTTTGTCATTCCTCTTTGTGCTTTTCGCTTATTTTGACATTTTGTTAAGCCTTTCTTCCATTTTAATAAAATAGAAATGTCCTAAAACTCTGTTAACGAATCTCTTAACCGCAAACGACAAATTCACAAGTTTGCGATATGAAAAATCTTGTACGATGAGCTGTACGAGTTATAAGGTGACAATGATTTAGTTCAGCGAATGAAGAGACCGCGGAGTACCTGCAAGTAAAACCAAAGGAAAAGAAATACCTACACTGGTAAGGTAAATCGGTGGAGAGCCATCAAGTTTCATTTGTTATTTCCAACTGATGCCAAATAGCGAAGGGAAGAACCGAACGGTGCGCTATAAGCGTAAGCGGTTAAGAAGAATATTGAAAAAAATTCAGGAAATCGTCATAAATATAATAAAATACTCAAAAATACTAGGCGGGGTGGAAAGTAACCTCCTTGCGAATGAAATTTTTTGTTTAAACTGTCTGCAAAATACTCCAACAAGTGAGCTGAATTTTTTTTTATGGATAAACCATATTTTGAGGTTTAGGAAGAGATAATAGTCCGAGAGAGCTAAATCGGGTGAATACGGTAGACGCGGAAGCAATTGGAGCTCTAAGTCATTTATTTTAGCCATTGATGCGATGCTCTTGTGCACCGGCGATTGTCTTGCAAAAACAAATTTTTTTCCGCTCAGCTTAACATGATGCCAAGCACGTCAACAACAAACAGCTGTCAAAACAAAATTAAGGGCAGTATAGCACGGAAATTTGACATGTTTGCCGAAATTTCAACGGGGCATTCTAGCGGTCAAGGAGGGTACTTTTTACCCCACCTAGAAGACTAGAAAAACACTACAGAGATCGATTGCACCCAGTAGTAATACCAACAAAAAATTACCTAAAACGCATATTAAAATACCCAATTATAATTAAAGGTAAATGCCAAAGATACCAAATACAACAAAAACAATAGACTATATTAAAAAAGATTGAACCCAAAGACATAATCCAGTAACAAAGAATATACTTCAAGAAATAGCCAAGATTTCGGATAGAAAATAAGTACCCATATTAAAAATACAACCCACATGACGTGTCAGAAAACGAAATTTTCACGCTCTATTAAACAAAATCGAAAGCCGTACATATTTTCTAGAAATTAGCACACCAAGTGACCGAAATATTCACAAAAAATATGCAGAAAAAATTACAAATATGGGAACAGAAAATAGTTAACACTATTTTACTCAGAGAATTCCATTGGATAATAAAAATATAATAAAAAGGTAATAATAACGTTAATGATAATAATAAATATTCACTTAAGCGTTATAAGGAGGTACTTACATTTTAAATATTTCGTCATATAAAGGAAATCGAGTTTTATTATGCACGGCTGTTTTATACGATTGCACATTTAAAAATTTGTTAGTCGGATAAAACTGTATTTTAACAAAAGAATCACATGATCCATTCGGGTCCATTGGAACCAAATTTCTTCCATTTAAGATATGGAGCTAAAGTTATAAATTGTACTCATTTAGTTAATGTATGTATAAATATGTATTACTTTTACTTTGAACTGATCTTACCAATAAACCTGTTTCCGTAAAATTAGCTTTAATAGTGAGTTGTCCGAATTCCGATTTCGTTATATTTCGCTGATATCCTAACAATTCGATGTAATACTGATGAATCAAATCGGACGTTTCTAAGGCATGTAAATCCAATGTTTTTTCAATTTCCTTCAATACCTCAACATCTGACGTTACAATTTTTCCAATTTTAAAACATGAGGTCATAATTGTTAAAGTGTGTTTCAAATTTTGAAAAAAAGAAGGCGGGCGTCGTTTCTAAAAATAAAGTAATTAAATTAATTCATAAATCTAATTCAAATAGATTAGATTAAAATATAGCCATTATTTTTGCAGCAGACTATTGTACTTTTGGGATTTCGTGTCATTTACACTATAAAAATTTTGGGATATTCAAAAGGTGTCATATTTTGCCATATCGTCAAAATATGTTGTCATATTTTTTTATGACCATCAAATAAACACTGTTGTTGTTTCCCATACAAAATTGAAATGCGCTAAATACAACATTGCGAGGTATGTCTTCTGAGTGTGCTACTCTATAAGCTGTATCTGTTTAATTTTTTTATTGCTGACATTCAAGTTTCTTAAATAAATAAATTGCATCAATATACAATATATAATATAGAAGGAAGCTACGATACTCAGGCAAATTACGTCGAATAAAAGGGAAATATAAAAATATTTTATTGTTTATGTTATTGCAAAAGATTTTATTGCAGCTTAAGCCAAAACGACGTCGTTTCAATCCAGAGCCTTAGAATTTTACCGTTTACGCGAATTGTAAATTTAATGCTGCATAATTAATAATTTATTTCGGAAACATTGATGTCTGGCGTATTTTGCCGTTGCGGACGCAATCTCCAGCCTTTCTCTTTAATTGGGCCAGTATAAATACTCATTTTTCAACTGCAATATGGCTTTATAAATTTTTTGGGTTACATTTTTAATAGTGCCTCCATCAACCACACCGAGTAAGAAGGCTACTTTACTATTTTGAGTTGCAATTCGACTTTTTCGGTTCTTCAGCAGTTTATGCTGATTAAAAACTTCCAATAGCTTTGACTTCTTCATAACCTGCCAAGTGTAGATATGTGTGTTGAATGAAGGAATGTATGCAAAAACTTGATTGCACTACTGATGAGTTATCTCATATAGAATCTCTAATTTTATTTTTCTCACTTTCTAGTTGTATTTTTGTAGTTTAAAAGCAACTGATAAAGTGTAGAAATATTCACAAGTGTCGAATTTTTTAAGACTATTGAAATATGACATATAAGACAAAAGAAAAAGCTTGTGAACTGCCTAATTATGTATTTATATTTTTTAACATTCTTAGGGTTATAATATCTGATAATTTTTACCCAAATATCGGCGACCGCAATAACCGAGTGGTTAGCATTGCGTACTGGCACTCTAATTGCTAGGGTTCGAGTTATGGTCCGACTAAAATATAAAAAATTGTAGAAATTTTTATTTAAATAAGAGCGGTGGCCCCTCGGTAGCGAATGCCAAGCTAATCGAGTGTATTTCTGACATAAAATAAAAAGCTCATAGTTCCTCTTTCAGAGGACCATCAGTGATAACATATTAAAATTATTATGGTTGGCTATGAAGCATATAGAATCTCATCATTGTTATATTCAATAATTTTTTAATGCAATTAATACATTAAAAATGTCATATAATTGCCAGTTTTATTAAAATACTTAGAATAATACTTAAAAGCAGAAAGAAATCAAATGCATAAAGGAACGGTTTCAAAAACGAACAGCTGTTATACAACTTGCTGGCTAATTTTTACTGAATCCTGTTCGGTGAAAACTGAGTAAATTATGAAGCAAAATATCGCATTTAGGGCTCTGAGAATCAGCAATTAATTGAGAAAAGATCACTACACCCAAAAAAGCTTTCCGTCCGGTTCGCTCTTTGGTCCGAAGATGTGATTGAACTTTAGTTCTTCGAAACGACAACGGCGAAACTGCCGCTGTGAATAAGGAGCGTTATGGTCATATAATAACGATAGCGAAATCTGTTTTAAAACGTATTTTTAAAAACAAATGACTTGTTAACTTAATGGGTGAGTAGAAAAAAATTATTGTGTTATTTGGACTCGGAAAACCGTTTTAAAGCACCTCTGAACGGTTGATAAATTTTTTATGAGGTACTTTTAATGTGAGAAATACACTCGTAAGGGAGAAGTGACCGTAATGAGAATAATTATTGTTTATTTTTTATATTGCTTTTATAATTTTGGATATTGATTTGGCCAGAAATCAAGCATGTATCCGCTCGCATAGTAGTAAAGGATAACCGAGCGGATATTGTAACTTAACTACTACGTGTTGAAATATTATCTAAGCCGTACGAAGTGAAAAGCATTATTATTATTATTATTATTATTATTATTATTATTATTATTATTATTATGTAATGGCGTATAATATTAAAAAAAAAACATTGTGATTAAAATTTACTTACATCTAAATTGGATTGTATAAGGTCGTACATCACAATAGAAAGCTCACTCCAAATTGCATCTAAGATTCTGGCAAAGTTAACTTCATTTAACGTGTCGTACAACGTTTTCAAAGAAGATTCCATGTACATCATAAGTTTTTCCATAGAATTTGAATCTTTGTGTAAAACTTCAGCTCCTTCAGCTAAAAATCGTTTAATCGATGGTGCCATTCGTTTGGCAACGATATTGATAAGCTCCAAAATTTGATTTTTTTGCGTATCTAAAGCGTTGTCGATTAAACTTTTAATTGTTGATGCACAACGATCGGCATCTAGATTAGTTCGTAGATCACTAATTCGTTTTATGAGATCATCTGCGTCTAGTTCCTGCAAAAAAAATCATCATACAACAAATGTTTATTTTTGATAATTTTCAAACCTTAATGAACGAGGGTAGACTTTGCCTGACATAATCGATGTTATTGATGGCGAAGCACCACTCTGAAGTAACAATAAAAAGGTCGTTATCTTTTGTTTGAGATTCAACACGTCGCGACATTCGAGTGGAATAAAATACACAACAGCGGCAAACATCCTATAAAATATTAGTAAAAATTTTAAATAAGTTGAGAGTGTAAAATCAAAACGATATTTAAATCAAAATTGGATATTGATTATATATTAGGGGTCTTCAATTAAACATGCAAATGTCTGATAAGCCTGATATAATGAACACCTGGTAAATAAATTTAATTATTAGTATGGGAAAAATGTTTATCGCTTTATCTGTTTAGAAGAATACCCTACATGTTCTACATATAATACTACAATAATTTTTATATTAATAGCTTAAACAAATATCTATATTCTTAAAATATTCACGAGAATTTGTCGAAAAATGTGTACGTGAAAGCAACAACAAATTTATCAGTCGAACTGAACACAAAAGTGTAAACTGGTATACCCGCTTAGCTTGTTTAGAGATTTTATACCAGTTTTACTGATGTGAATCGAGACGAAATATCTCCTATCAACAAACAAACAGTCATCGCATTCGCGACTCGGCTTTCACGTCACTGTTGATAGACGTATATAATTTCGTCTACCTACGTGTAGGTCCCTAGCATTAACACCAATAATAACGTCAGCATTGAAATCGAAAGCAGAATCACTCTTGCCTACAGGTGCTACTTTGGACTAAGTAGGCAATTGAAAAGTAAAGTCCACTCTCGGCGAACGAAAACCAAACTCAACAAATTGCTCAGAATACTGGTTCTACTATATGGCGCAGAACCGTGGACGAGTTTTCGGAAGAAAAGTTTTGCGAACGATTTATGGTCCTTTGCGCAGTGGTAACACTGTTGGGAGGATCAGGTGGAGAGTGACCTGGCCTCACTTGGTATTTCCAACTAGCACCAGACAGCGAAAAAAAGAGAGGAATGGGGCGCTAATATTGATTCGGCAATAATTAAAAGAAGTGGTGCCAATGCCAATAAAGAAGAAAAAAAACTGATGTGAAGGCTCACATCCGAATGTTGGCAAACAATATAATAAATATAAAATAAATTCAAACATGAATTCAATATTGAAAATGGCAGGCGAAGATAAATTGTGTTTGATTAGTTATTTTTAAATCTAATTTTTTTTATAGAAATCCTGAGGAATGGGCGTAGCTGGAAACAAGAGGACTGTTGAAGTGCTACATGACACGGAAGAAAGGATTCCACCACAAATTAAGAAGCGAGATGCATAGCCGCAAGAGTTCACTATAAGCTTAACACTTTTTTGATACATTTAGTGAAAAGTCGGGTTTAATTAGGATTCATCAACATCAGCGATGGCGCTGGAAAACAAAATGTGCACTTTGCTGTCAGGGTATTTTGCAAAAGGCAAATTGTATTGTATTACTCCTTATATGGAGCAGCTGGGGGGATATATTGTGAAAAGGTAGGCAAATTTCTAATGAGCACACTTTAACTTTAGGCATTTCCAAAAGCCAACCTCTGCCGATAGTGGCATGTTTTCGACATTCCCTAATAAAACCACTTTCCTATTAAATCAAGTCGTTCGTTATTCAATGTTTCCTTTTCGTTTGAATAAATTTTCTGAAATATTCGACCTTATTGGGAATTTCTTGTGAAAAAAATTAGTGTGGATAATTTTGGTAGAGAACAAATGCAAAATTAGCATACTACAAAAATATAGTTCGATATTTTGTTTTTGTACTCTATTAAAATTTCCACACTAATATTTTCACATGAAATTCCGAATAGGAGCTGTGTGCCAATCGAGTGAAAAATGTAAATTTTGATAGCCAACATGGAAATTCTGACATTTTTCGTATTGAGCATAAACGTCAGAATTTTACCTACAATAACATGCTATCCAATATAGTAAGCAAATAACTTCATATTCCTGATGTTTTGGGGTAATTAATTTGAGAATTTTTGATAACGTGCTGCAATAAATACCTAAAAGTGCCCAAATCATCCTTTCATCACCGGACATAATTATTTTGGCACAAATGTTAAGTGGCCCGTGGCCTAAAACTTTGAATTAACCACAAATCATTAATTGAATTCATTTCTTCTGTTTATTGTTGGAAACATTAGTAAAGAAAAGTATTTTCTTTGACTTTTATTAAATTTTTATTAGTGCTCAAAATATATATGCGACTTCTTACAATTTCATTTGGAACAGCGAATTGTAAGATTTTCCCCACCTCATTTTACCATTTGAAAAAAAGATACCGATTAGCACACAGCCTAGGGCAATTGATTAGGTGCTGTCAAATAAAACCCATTTTAGACAACTTTTTTATACCAGTTGCTTGTTCGATTCACAACTCTCTAACTGCGTTAAACAACTATCAAGAATCATCATGGCCATACAACTTGTATGAGACATTCAACAAAAAAGTAGTTCAACTTGTGGAGGCAAATAAATGCAATTAATTTAGTAAATATTCTTAAAATGATACGCACTTGAAGAGAATAGAACACGTCAAAACGTTAGCTGATATATGTATATGCAATACAAAAATTATTTTATTACAATATTTTATTTATCGAATTCAATTAATATTAAGCTGAGAGTGTAGTTCTACTTATACTACGTGTATGCCTCTTTTCTACGTGGGCTAGTTTTACTCGGGTTAAGCCCACAAGCATAAACGCCAAATGTTCAACTCGAATTGAGTTCAGAATGGAGTCACGCCAAATTTTTTAATTTTGGCAAAATTTTAGGTAAACAATTATATTTTTGGCAAAAAAATAGCAACACGGAAACCCTGCATCAAACAGGTTAAATGTAAATCAGCTCAATTAAACTCAACTCGCATTATCGCTTCTACGTCCATATCTAGATAAAATGTGTATAATTTACCCGAATATACGCTTTGACTCGTGGTGAAAAAGTGTTTATGCTTGCGAGGTTAATCTACCCGAGTAGAAATAAAGCATAAACGTAGTATTAGATACTAAAACTAAAATATAAACCCATCTTTAAAGAAGATTCGATCGCTGCTGGTGTACGTGGCTCTATAAAGGTTTCCGTACAGAGTACACTTACCACGATTTCGGACAAAAATGATGATGGAAAAACTCATGAACGTGTCCGTAGCCCCTAGATGATTACCGTAGGCTGCAGTAAATTGTGCAGCACATATTGACGGAACTCCAACGCAGAAACTAGCTGTTTTCCTTTTTTAACATTTTTACAAAATACGTCGACCGCAAAGTGCGTGTGTGTATTTCGTATCATTTGTTTGTTTCAGGGAGCTATAGTATTTCGTTTCGCTGTCAAGAAAAATTAACTCAATGAAATGAGATTGTTTCAAAGCTAATCAAGCTACTAAGACCAAGCTATTAAGAAAATAGCGTTTAAATTAGCACATTTAATAGTTGTTGGTTAATAATGAATTTAATAACACAACAATAGATTATATGGCTGATGTTGGCGCAGTGGTAGAGCACTCGCCTGTTAAGTCAGGATTCGTTGGTTCGATCCCTGCCATAAGAAGTCTGATGAGGAGATGTGGTGATCTCCGAAACAGCTGTCACTTCTACAATTTTTCTTTGTTGTATAACAAAATATTCAATCCATACCTTCAGTTTACTTAATACTTATATCAGAAATTGTTCATGTTGAGGCCACACAAACCCAGCGTTAACGTTAATTTTTAAAAGGATGTTTGCTATGATATTTACAGCACACTTCAATTTCATTTGACATTCTGTAAACGACAGTTTTTCGCTTCGATTAAAAGTAAATAAAATTTAATTTGATAACTGCTTTGACGAAAACATTTTCAAATATTTCAAGAGCATATCACAGAGGGAAGTGATTTATACGAAACAACCCTAAATTTTTCCAATTTGATTTTTTGAATGTCGGAGTTGATACGGGACGTATGTTCACGTTCGCGAGTGCTTCTAATATAACACATAAACAAGTTGTCTTGTTTATCTTTCTCTACTGTGTCCATACATATTGAAAGAGAGTGCAGTGAACGGATTATCCGTTTTACTTTTTTATCGTTTCCTTTCTACTTTGCAACTCCTATATCTAAATTGAGTTGAGTGCTAAACAATTGCGAGAAACCCTCATGGCCATCAACTAAGAAAATTAGAACTTCAAGAGTATATTTATTATTTATTGATAATTATTTGACAACCTTACAAAATCATTTATGTAAATATGTAGCGAAGAAAAGACTGTTAGGGTTACAGGTGAGTATTTAGGGTAAGTATTTTATATGAGTGAGTGGTATAAATTTCTATTTTATTTACAGAACTATAATTATTTAAAATTTTGTATACACATATCTTCAACATGCGGGTCCTGCAGCATCATAACATGAAAACTCTGCATTTTCTTGAACAGCTATGAGAGGCTCAGCTGAGCAGAACGCACTTGTCTGTAACGAGATTTTACTTGAATATACACCATATTTTTAGTGTGAGAATGAGTCGGTGCGCTGGGCTTGGAACCCGCCACGTGGAAACCAGCTCGAATTAAAAACTTAGAAACGCCTCGGATTAGATACCCTTTTCTGTTGACGACCTCCGCAAACGAATTGAGGATCACGATTTGGGGGCATGCACCTGGAATATCCGGTCCCTTAATTTGGAAGGTGCCGGTGCCCAGTTGGTTGATGTCCTCGTAAGAATAAAGGCTGACATCACCGCCATCCAAGAAGCGCTATGGACGGGACAAGAACGAAGGCGATTAAGTTCTTGTGACATTTACTACAGCGGTCATATAAGGGAGCGCAAATTTAGTGTTGGATTTGTGGCGGGAGAGAGACTCCGTCGACCAGTACTGGCATTCACCCCGATGGATAAGCGTCTCGCTACAATCCGCATCAAAGCGAAATTTTGTCTGTAGTACTAGATTCCAACACAAAAAAATACATCAAGCTACTTGGCTGTCCCCTGATCGAAAAACATAACAGCGTGCGTACACCCTGAGGACGCAACATCGACTCATACCATTATCAAGCCCGAGGAAATTTCGACGTTGAAAAGCTGCAATCACAACAGACTTCCGAACGATTTCCTACTCGACTTGCACTCCTGCTTTCTGAGCGCACTC